AAAACACTTTTGCATGACTTAAAAACTCTGCAGAACTAGTATTGAAATGGAAAATGCCAGGTAGTGGGAGAGATGGCAAGAAGTAAGAGCCGGGAGGAGGAAAATAGCTTTATGGCCTGGGTAAGGAAGTCTCACTGAGCAAGACCTGCTTCTCTAGTTCTCTGAGTCAGAAGCTAGCTAAGATAAGGAATCCTATAAAAGGTTCCAACTGGGAGACCACAAGAGAAGTATTTTCTTGAAAGATTCAGAAGTTACTGTGGTACGTGGTGGTGGGTGGGGAGGGTGGATCATCTTCTTGATGTCATAGTCCTCCTCAAGAATGAAGGACAAACCACAACCATTTGAACATTATTGATGTTCAATAATAACAACAAACATCTGTATGATGCTTTACAGTTTGAGCTTCACAAATGTATCAGCTGTACCACATTGCTCTTAGCCAGTCACTATCCCTACTTAGGGTGTTAAATCTTTGTTCTAGCCTGAGGCTCCTTCTCTTGGAGATAGATCCTGAAGGCTATATGTTGGTATGATAATTATAAAGAGAGGAAAGCATGGACATATAGCAATATAATTTTTTTTTTATCTTTTAAGTAATACAGCCTTTCTTCCAGGGTCTTAAGGAGTAAAGCAGCCAGTTGGAACAGTGATTTTTCAATTTGTCAGAATTGGGTTTTTATTTTTTGTTCCATTTCTTCTGTAATGCTCTGTAATACATTACCTTTTAAAACACCTGAGAAATGTGTTATTACTGGAAAGCATAAATAGGAAGGGAGGGAGCCCCCAAAAGCAGAAGAGGCAAAAGACAAATAGACACCAACTGGACTTGTTGCTTGCTTACTGGCATAAGAGAAATGGTTTCGCTGGAGAAGTAGAATTAGAGAAAAGAAAGTAACCCTCTTCTTCCCAAGATCAAGTCCCAAAGCACCTGGCTTAAATTTTATCTAAGATGATAAAACTGAATGGGGGTAAACATGAAGTCTTACACCTAGGTTATAAAGGATTAATTCACAAGGGAAAGATGTGTCTAATAGCAGTGTCTGAAAAATGATTGGGGATTTTAGTAGTCTGAAAGTACAATGATTCAACAATACAATATGAGAAGCCAAAAGGCAAATGCTAAGAGTCATAGTCTAAGACTGAAGAGGTAAAAGTCCTACTGTGTTCTGTCCTTAATTAAGGCAAGTGGAGTATTGTGCCCATTTGTGGTTGTCATATTTTAGGAAGTATGTGGAAGAGCTGACTAGCATGGTGACTAGCCATGTGAAAAAGTGACTAGCATGGTGAAGGGTTTCTAGATTATGTCATATGGCGAGCCACAGAAAGAACTGGGGGTATTTAATCTGGAGAAGAAATGGGTTGGGGAGGCATGCATAATAGCTCTCTAAGCATGTTAAAGACCACCCTTAGAAGAGGAATTGTTCTGATATTGTTCCCAGAAGACAAATAGGAATGATGGGTTGAAGTTTGAATGAGGCGAATTTAGGCTTGAAGTGAAAAAAAAACCACTTTCTTAGCTATAGCTATTCTGAAGTAGAATGGGCTGTTTCAGGAGTTAGTAGGTTTTCTCTCAAAAAGGGTATTTAAGCAAAGCAAAGGCCAAACCTGAAATGTTAGGTATATTGCAAAGAATCTAGTCTGGTATGGACTGGATCACAAAGTCCCTGAATTCTCTCACAAGCCTAATTCTGTGACTTCTCTCATGCCTAGGTCATTTTTATATCATCTGTCATTCGAGATTTCACTGGGCATACCCCTCCCTCAAATCACAGAATCTGAGTTGGAAGGGACCTCAGAGGCCCTCTTATTTAAACCATACCTAAAACAAGAACTCTTCTACATCATTCCCCAAGTGGTCACCCAGAATCCATTTGAAAATCCTTCAAGTGACGAGAAACTTATTATTTTGAGTTTGTTGTGAGTGAAGAATTTCTAAACTTTAAAATGTTATACAAATGTCATTATGAATGACAGTAAGCAGAAAGTCTAATGATCCAGACATTCAACATTCTAAATCTACTGAGACGATGTGGTTGGACAAGTCAAAGTACCTTGTCTGATCATGTTTATTCTTTCTAAAAAATGGAAATTTAGACTAGATTTGAACTAGTCAGATACATCAGGCATTTCTTTTGTTTGTGAAAAACAAAAACCAAACAAAACAGTAATCTTAAAACATGTTGATTTTAGATGAGGTTGTAAAAGAGAAAATGCGTGAAACCATCAAGGACTTTTTGAAAGTCCAACTATACATTGCACCTACTGGCCCCCCTCTATCCAAATGGATATTTACTCCACCCTCAAACACTAGTACAGGTAAGTAGTCTCCAGCTTATACTGTGGTTTACATTCCAAATGTTTAGGAATATACTATCCCAAATGGGAATGTGGAAACATTTTCTTACAGAAATAATTTTCTACATGATTAGGTTTTAAGTCAGCCTACAAAAATTCTGTTTAATATCATTAAACCCTCATACCATAAACCTGAGCCACCATTTATAGCATTATTTATTTGGAAAGCTATGTTCCAAGTTCCAAATGAAGATCAGGAACATTTTTCTTCCTTCTTCCCTATCCCCACTGAAGTTTAAAGAATTCACTATTCCCTATGTGGTACACAATCCTGTCTCCAAAAACACACACATGAGCCTGAGGAACACTCAACTGTAGCAGGTGTTCCGGGTAGAGGTAGGGGATTTGGCTCCTGGGGATGTTTTAGGAAGGGTTTGGAAAGGTAGGGGTTTTGATAGCTGGGGTCATGACTAATGGCTTCATGGAGAGGATTCTGTGATAATCTTACTTGTTAAGAAGACAGACATCATCTCCCATTCTCTCAAGGGCAGCAGAATAGGCTTTGGATGATGAGGAATAGAAAGTAGTTGTCACAAATTTTGATTCTGCCACTTTCTGATATTGAACATTAACTTACCTGAGCCTCAGTTTCCTCAACTATAAAATGAGCAGGAAGTCTATGAACCTATGAATAGAGGGCAGTGATTATAGAGACTTTTCCATTACAAGGACTATATTTCTCACCATGTTCAACTCTTCACTGATCCTACCAACCTGCCCATTATAGAAGTGTGGCTCACTAATCTCTGAAAACCTTCTTATGAATGGGGATCACATCAGCAGTCTGCCAGTCTGTTGGTATGATAATCATTTGTAACGAATCTCATTTTGCTCAATGATACTAGAATTTCACTTGAATTCTTCTAAAATTCTCAGGTGAATGCTATCTGGTTCCAGTGAATAACTTTCTATTAACTACTGTACCAAGAGTCAGATTTAAGGAAATTCTTCCCATTTCCAAGATGCCATTCCCTAACAAAATAATTTGTGTGAAAAATGGGAAAATGACAAGAAGGTTCCTGAACTAGGTAAGACTATGAATTGCACCCCCAACCACATTTAGTCTTTAAGCATTATAAGAGGTTGCCAAAACAACTTGCCTTGCTGATGCTGAAATAAAAGTGAGGGGTCCTATTGATAAACTAAATTAATTGAACATCACCTTTGCCTTTCACAAAATCCTAGTCTCCAAATGGTGATAAAAATGAGGTTCTGAAAGTTGTAGATCTTAACTGACCTGCTGCAATGAGTGGGTGAAAAGGTGACATAACTCTTTAGCTATGATGAGAAGTATCCCAAGCATATTTTCAGTTTTAATAGCAGTGCAAAAATGCATGAAGAGAATGTTAATTCTCCTCTGAGGGGAAAAACCCACTCATATTAATATGTTTATTACCGACATGACTGATACAAAAGAGCAGAAAGGAGTAACTTTATTTTACCCACTCCTAGAATCATTGATTATTGGCATTGACAATTGTTTCTCTGGCTATGCCTGGTTGGGGCAGCTAGATGGTACAGTGGATAGAATGTCAGTCCTGGAGTCAGGAGGAACCAAGTTCAAATTTGAACTTAGACATTTACTAGCTGGGCAACTTCCTCCCTCAGTTCCTCATCTGTAAAAAACAAATAAAAAAAAAAGCTGGAGAAGAAAATAGCAAACTACTCCAGTGTCTTTGCCAAGAAAACTCCAAGTGTGGTCATCACAAAGAGTCAGGCATGACTGAAACAACTAAACAACAACAAAGTACTTGTTTATCACTACAGCAAAAATTTGATGGAATATTTTAAGTTTGTATTTTCAAGTGAAGTTGTCACTAATTTACATAAGTTTCTGTTTCTTCACGTTAAAAAAAAATCCCTGGGTGAACACCCTGATGCAGAGTTAGGGAATTAAGGGTCTGGAATACTGTATATACTGCCAGACATGGCTGATGTGTTGGTTGGTTTTGTGGAACTTTTTTTTTGCCCCTCTTAAATCTTTGTGAAGGAAGTCATGGTGATGCATGCTTGGAGTCTCCACGGCTGGAAAGGCTGAGACTGGGAGTTCTGAGCTGCTGTACAGCTAAAGCTAACTGGGGGTCTGCACCAAGTACAGCACTGATAAAGTTAGCCCAAGGGAGCAGAGGACCACAAGGCTACCTAAGGAGGGGCAAACTGGCTCACAACAGAAAAAAAGGGCAGACTGCAACTTCCATGCAGAAAAGTACCATAACCAGGCCTATGAGTAGCCCCTGGATTTCCAGCTCAAGACAGAGAAAAAATGAAATCCAGTCTAAAAAAAATCTTTGTTGAAAGGGACGTCTGAGTAGGGGAGGATGAAGGATATACTTAGAAATGAAGGAAATACAAAAACAAATTATATGGATAATATTAAAAGATAAAATCAGTGAGTCCTAATATATTTATATTAAAATAATACCTTGATCATAACTCTACATTAACTTAATCAGTGGCAAATAACATTTAGCATTCAAAAGATTTTGTTTTTGAAATCACCCTCAAAAATGAATTAATGTAATGAATAGTAATAGAAAGACTGACATTAGTAAGCACATTTTCAAGTCATCTTTGATAAATGCTTAAAATAGGTTGAACATGTAGTAAGAATAATGTATAATAAATGGACAAATCAAGGATAATGGCCATGTTTAAAAAAATTTTTTTAATGGTTTCAAAAAACTACAAGGAACATCTTCTGTGTCAGTAAATACACATTTTATAAATTACTTATGTGCCAGGCACTGTGCTAACTAATGAAAGCATATTAAGTGGACATGCATGAAGGATTTAAAGGAGGAAATGGACAAAAGTCACATAAAATGAGGTTAGGATGAGTTATAATCCACAGTGTGAGGAGAGAGAGCAGGTTAATGAGATCACAGATTCACTGACATTTTGCAGCATTTTAAGGAACATTTTGAAGTATGCCTAAGGAACATACACAATAACTTACTTAAGAGAAGATGCTTAAGGAAGACAAGTGCTTTAAGTGAGCATTTAACTTTTTTCAAAACAAACAAACAAACAAATATACATATATCTATGTATATACCTATCACCTCGGAAGTGCTGTGGGCAGCAATAGTCATCATCATTTTTATATTCCTCTCCCCATTTTAAACCAATAAAGAAATTAAAGAGAGAAATTAAGTTTCAGAGTTCATATAAAAACCAATTCTTCTAGAATCTATAATTGATTCTATATTCTTTTTACCTTTTTGCTGTACCTATCTTCCCCTACATCTGGATGAGATGTGAAACACTGCCATACCCACCAACCCATCAAAAAACTCTAACTTTATCAAAATAAATATTTAAACTATGAAATCTTAGCAAAATTTAAAAAAAATTTTCTGCCCCTTACCCCTCTGTCATTTTAAATATTTAATCCAGTCAAGAAAAGTCACAAAATGAAAGGAGTTATATTGAGGATTTCTTTATTGTGTTTTCCACTAGACAAAAAGAAATAAAGCTTTTCTGATAAGAAAAACAGGCCATAAAAAGGACTTTTTTGTAACTGAACCAGTAGCAAACAAAATTTAGTGTTCAAAAGACTTGTGAATTTTGCATTTGCATTTAAATTTCACAAAGACACAAGATTAAGGACTTATAGTAGAAAAAGAAGACATCAACATTAGAAAGCACCTTTTCCATAGAAAGTCATTTATGAAAAGTTTAAAAAAATGTTGCTTAAGGAAAACACACAGTAAAGTTATTTAAGAAAGGTCATTTAAGGAAGACATAAGTGCTTCAAGAGGAATGGGCACTGGGCTTGCAAATGGTAGTGTTAAAAATCTGCCAAGACTGAAATGCTAAAAATATTTCTCTACCACCTTATTCATTTAATATCTTATTTAAGGAAACACTTGCCAGACAAGTATACCAAAGGCAAAAATCTATCACCTGTATATTTAAATAAAAATATAAATCCTAGACCTATAAAATTTTCTGGTTTGCACACCATATATAAAGGTCAATACTTGACCTTCATTGATCAATTTCTAAGTCATTAAAAAAATACAGTATCAAATCTATACTACCTCCCCAGAAACTTGGGGAAATATAATATCTTTAAGTCAGGAGTGTGCATATATCTGTATGCATCTTTGTTTAAAGATATGACACACAAACACCACCTTATTCTGCAAATTAACTTTCAGCATACTGTAAACATCTCTTCCCTAAACCTGGACATCTCCAAAAATAGTCTTTGGTATTACTAGTTATTATTGTGCTTTAAAACAGAACCTTAAGAGATTTCTGTAGCAGTGATGCCACTTGCACATTTAAAGATATAAATATGGAAAAATGCACTTGAAATAAGTTACAATTAGCTGCTTTTGCATAATTTTCCAAAACTACAGTGTATGCCTAGTCACAGTTTTATAAGAAAGTAGGTCTCCTTTTTTAATTCCCTAATTCTAAGTAACACTTAATCCTGATGGACAAAATCCCACTGCTGGAATACATCTGATGGATTGCATGGCACCAAGCTAGGATGCTCTCCATTTCCCGTAAGACACATGTTTAGCGATGGATTGTATAGTAGTTGATCCTGGAGTGAAGATAAGAAGAGAGAGACTCAGTTTCATACTGATCAAATACCAAACAAATTTCAAATTCTTGTTATGGCAAAACATTGAACCTCACATCACTTCTAGGTATGTCGCCTAATTTGTTCTTTATAATGACAAAAACTTTTACAAACAGTTTTTGTATCTTCTCAGCTATTTTACAGTTGTATCACTTTGATCACTACAATATCCTAAAACTTACATGAAGGTACTAGATTAAGGAATTTACGAAACTCCTAACAACTCTAGAACCAAATAATCAAGGAAATGTGCCTAAAAGGAAAAATAGCATCAATTAAGGCTTGACTTTAAAAAAAGTCTTCTTACATTATCCCTGAAATAATGAATTTATTTTGCACAAGATTAAATGATCTAGACATTAAAGTTAGATTCTAACTTCATAGGCAGCTTTAAAAAGGCACATTTAGCTATAAAGGAGAAATGACATTTATCGCCAGGTTCATGAGTGTAGTAGGAATGGCACCTATTTTATGTAAGGTGGAATTGTTTCTCTTTTAGGAGGCAGGAAGGGTCATTCTCAGGATCATCAATGATCTGGCTTTATTGTAGTTGGAGGTCTAATAGATCCAGTGCAGGGCTTAGAAGGCCTAAGGAACTAGTGTTGGAACATATAGCATAATTTGTCCTTGAGAGTGCCTTTCTGACCAATGAGGCTGGCTGCCATGGTGATTAAGGAGGTGGAGAAGAATAACATTTTATTAGTAACTTCTAACGTTAATAATTGAATCCTCCTAATCATTCTAAGTAAATTTTCTTTTATTTCATTTTATGATCCACAAAAGTGTCTCACTGCATTCTAACCTAGAATTTATTTAATTTAAAAGGCCTTAGTTGAGCCTTGTCCAGAAAAATGAGAAAGTGTAAGTAATTCAAATAATGAAGGCAAGAATGAAAAATTTCTTCTCTTTCATCTAAGAGAGAAAGAAACAAAAAGGATACATAAAGTAACATAAGTATCAAAATATTGCTTTGAGGTGGAATAAGGGTAAAGGGATTAATAACAGAAAGAATTTACCAGAATATACCATGAAATTGTGAAGTCTCATGAGTAATAACTTATGTAGAGATTCATGGCAACTACAGTGAAATAGGTGAGTAGAAAAACTGTGTAAGCTTAACATTGTAATAACAACAAAATATATCTAAAATACTTTATGAATAGTTATACATCAGCATAGTTATTGACATGGTAGAAAATTTCCAGTGGGTACTATAAATGAAGTGACATTTCATATATTCCCTTATTAAGTGTGCAAATGTTTGTAGCCTAACAAAATTAATTACACAAAGGTATAAACTAACAAATACCTTCCGAATCTCCCATTTCTGTTCACCAATGGTAAGTGTTTTCTGACCTCTGTAGCTACATGTCTTCACCTGAACCGGGCCTTGAATAGCATGGAGACATAACTCCTGCTGGATGCTATGCCTAATTTCATGCAGTGCAGAGTATTCAAAATACTATGGAGAAAAGAAGAATTCTATTAGATACTAAGCAGCCACATAAGAATGATGGTTCAATTGTAGAATAAAGTACTTCAAATAAAAATAGATTGACATAAACTTATTTCAAATCATCAGCTTATCTTATGACCAAGTAAGACGCCAGGGGAACCTGGGTTCCCTCACTAACTAAACTAAATTTCCTTATATGTAATTTCTTAACACTTTAATATCTCAAATTTCTTAAGATATTTCTTAAGATCTCTTATATGCTAAATTTCCTTATCTGTAAAACAAGAGAGTTGCATTATGTGACTTCTGACATCCCTTCCATTTGTAAGATCCTATGATCCTATTACTCCTTTTATTCTTCAACTACATAAATACTCCAATAAAATATGTAATTGAGAACAAATATAATTTATAATATTTACATGATATTTTAAACAATTATGTAACAAAAGAGGATATAATCTAGATCAGTCTATGACCAATTTAGATCCCTAGTACGAGATTTAATATCTGGTTCATATTCTTTCAATATCAAGATACGGGAAGGCTATCAAGAAAGTTGGAAGAGGGGGATCAGAGACCCTCAGTGCAACACTACTAACCACAAAACTACTGGATAGCTTGCAAGAAGCACACGCATTGTACGTTATGAAACATGCTATCTGCACCTTTTCTGGTAGCAAAGAACTTGCAAAAGTTGCTGCCCACCATTTAGGAAATGGCTAAAAATATTATGATATGGGAATGTAATAGAATATTGCTATGTTGTAACAATGATAAATCCAGAGAAATATGGAAAGTGAAGTAAACAGTCAAGGAATACACATTGACTACAAACACGTAAACAGAACTACAAAATTTCAAAAAATGTATATTGCAAAATGACAAAGAACAAGCCTGGACTTCCAAGAACAGATAGGAATAGATACTTTCCTGCTACTCTTTTGTAGAAGTTAGGGAGGATGGTATCCTAGGGAATTCATCGGATGCAGCGTTCTGATGTACTAATCAGTTTTGCTGATTTTTTTGGCTTTTCTTCCTCTTTATCATTCTTACTTTAAAAAGCCTTTATCTTAATAAATATATTATTTATTATGTAATACAAAGGATGCATTTCTGGGAGGGGAAGAGGTAGAGAGAGAAATCTAGGTGTTTTAGAAAACAGAGCATATCAATAAAATATATTTTTTAAAATGCTGCTTTTTCAAGTAGTTCTGGTCTTTTTAACTTCCCTTCAGCTTCCACTTATTTGTGAAGAACTTTTACATATTAATCATATTAACTTTTAACTGATCAGGAAATCTTTACACTGAAGCAAAACTAGGATTGTGAAATCTTGAGCTAGAAGAGGCTTTAGTTTAGTGACCACTGAGTCTAAACCCCTTATTTCAAAGACAAGGAAAGTAAAGATTAGGTGACTTGGCCAGGGTCACAAAGTTACTAAGCACTTGAGTTAGGATTTAATTCCTTCCTGACTTTCAGCCCACATTCTTATCTACTATATCATGCTGCCTCTGAAAGGTTTAAAATACCTTGGTTAAGCTTCTGAAAGAGGAATTTTTTGGGGGAGGGGTAGCACGACCTAAGTAGATGAAGAACCAATCCTGAAGCCAGAAAGATGTGGTCTCAAATCCTGACTCTTACACTTATTAGCTCTGTGACCATGGACAAGTCATTTCAATGACCTAAGCAACTCCCTACAGGAATTCTTCTTACTGGGGGGTCTGTGAAATTTTTTTAAATACTTTGAGAACTATATTTCACTATAATTGACTTCAAAGTTTGCATTTTATTTTATGCATTTAAAAACACTACTGTGAAGAGGAGTCCATAGGCTTCACTGGACTTCCAGAGGGCCCATGAGATAAAAAAAGATTAAGAACACCTGCTCTAATACCATGACTCGTTAAGCTGCACTGTTAAAGGGGAGTTTTTACCCTAAATTCACCACAGAAATAAAAGTCACAGGTCTGAACCATCATGATCACTTAAAAGAAAAAAAAAAGAGAATGAGACATCTTTCATGCCTTAAGAATACAAATAAAATGCCTCTCTTTGGGAGTTCAGAGGAAGGCAAAATTTCTTCTGGGTGAGAAAAGAAAGGATTAGGGAAGGTGTCTTGAAGAATTTTGCATTTGAATTAGTTTAGGAGAGAAGGTAGGATGAGGAAAAGGGCATTCCAAGATGGAAAGAGCTTCATGAATCAAAAGCCAAGAGGCAGGAAAGCAGGGATCATGTTCTGGCAATAAGTAAATAATACAATCAGGGTGGCTAACAAATTAAAATTAAGGGAATTGTGGAGAAAATGTTTGATATTTTATAAAAAAAAGAATGGTTTTTAGCGAACTTCTGAATCCCTTGAACAATAAGATAGAGAACTAAACATTTTCTCTGAACCTCATGATCTTTCAAACTACTCAAAAACAGAAACTGTGCATCAAAGACAAAGCAACTTTAGATGTCTCCATGATTTAGGGCATCAGAAATCCCAAAGAATGTTAAAAAAACCAAACAAATCCCAAAACGCATTAATTAATTTCTAACCTGCACTCTTTCTGACTGTATGCCTCCCATGGCAGCAAGACTGCCCTGGCCAAACAGACTCATGGGCTTACAACAAAACTTATACTGCAGTCTTTCCACCTCCTCCCTCTTTCCAATGCCATGGAGCTCTAAGCACCAAACTACAGATATTTGCTGAGGCCTCAAGACCACCATAGCAGTGTTTTGTGCTACAAAAGATCTCTACAGAAGAATGGAAGAACAGAGAAAAAGGGTCAAAACGCATGTCTGGGCTTGAAATAGAGTTCAACCCCACTCTTCAACAACTCCTGACCCCACAGAGACAAACTCCAAATGACAGAAATTGCACCAAACTGCAATATTATCAGTATGGCCACGCTCTGTATTGTTAGGCTAGAGAGCTGAGGAATGGAAGGAACCGGACAGGACACCATGTTGAGGACTGTGTGGCACTCTACTAATCTTGAGAGAAAAGTGCCCAGAATCAAGCTGGCTCAGTTCTTCCTCCCAAAAAAACACTTGGGCACAGAGACCTAGGCTGGTGAACCACAAATTGCCCAGTGCAAGAGGAGGCTGAGACACTTTTGAGATCCAGCCACCAAGGAAATGTGTGGGACAGCGACCCCAACCCAAATTAAACTCAGAGACTTCTCAAGGTGGAAAGTAAAGGTTACCTTTATTACAATCTGGAGAGATGGCTATCTGCTCCTTCGATACATGTGGGGAGAGATAGAGAGAGCCACGGAGTAACAGGGGCCGCCTTATGAAAGCAAATCTCTGCCCATCACGCAAACGAGCCTCCACCCACCACTATCCCTTACCCCCTTAACTGGGGGTGGGCTTACATTCTAAACTAGAAAGTTTCTTCCTATCCTCTTAACTGGGAGGTGAGGCTTACATTCTAGGCCCGAAATTCAAAGACAAGGAAAGAGGCTGGAAGCTCAGGTTGGGGGTGGGGCAGGGCTTATTCTTTCTGTTAAGTGCTTAAAAACAGGGTCTAAGTGGGGGAGGATTTTGAAAGTAATAATCAAGAATTATTTGACCCTTTGAGGAGCCTTCACTTCTGAGAGTTCATTTCTCACACTACCTTCTGAACTCATTACCTTAATTACACTGAGAAGTCTTCACTGGGACATCCCATTCAGAAATCACTACCAGAGGTGAGGGAATCAAGAGAAAATAAGGGAAAAAATTCTGAAATTCCCAAAGATCTCATGAGTAAGAAAATTCAAAGACCTGAAGCATAAGCAGATAAGCCAAAAGGAAAAATTTTTAAAGCAGAAGGAAATATGACCTCCAGATCTAGTAAATTCAGATATCAATGAAAAAATGCTGTAAAAAAAAGGGAAAAAATTCAACACTTGATGAGATAGAGGAGCCTATGGATTTAGAGGAGAACAAAGATATAAAAGAGAAATGAGACTTCTGAGAGCAGAATTTATGGCCTGCACAGCAAAAATAATGGGCAGAATAGAAAAAACTTGAATCTGTGTTGTTAAGTCTCATCAAAGAAACAAAAAAAGAGAACGAATGATCTGGAAGGCAAGTACACAGAAGTAAAGGACAATAAGCAAAAAACATGACATTAAAAGAAAGTATGCTCTCTATTCAAGCAAAACATATTGATATCAAAGATATGATGCATAGAGGCAACCTAAGAAATATAGGTCTCTTAAAACAACACAAGTTAAAAAACCTGGACACCATAATGTTTTGGAGTCATATGGGAAAACTGCCGAGAACTTCTGAACATAGAAGACAAAATGCCAATTGAAGGAATCTATAGACATCCCCCAGAAAAAAAAAAGAAACACAAGGCTGCAAACTCAAGACAAATAGTGGTTCAACTTAACAATTCCATTAAGAAACAACAAATTCTACAAGCAATCAAGAAAAAGATTTTCGAATACAAGAGAAAAGAAATTGAATAACAAAATTATTCTGCACCTACACACAAAAATGAATGGAACATGTCCTGAAGAATAAAGAAGCTCAGGATGTACCCCAGAGTAAGACCTACCCTGAAAATCATAGCTTAACCACAAATGAAAAGAGATAGACATTACATAATAAAGAGGCAGTCAAAACATTCTAAAAACAGTTTTAACAGTGCAGCTCACTGTTAGTTCACACAAAAACCTCATTTTAAACTATGTTAACTATATATTCTAAAATGAGAGTGCTAGGTCTGAGGTCAGAAAGACTCATCTTTCTGAGTTCAAATCTGGCCTCAGACACTTACTAGCTGTGTGACCCTGGGAAAGTCACTTGGCCCTGTTTGCCTCAGTTTCCTCATCTGTAAAATGAGCTAGAGTAGGAAATGACAAACCACTCCATGTCTGCCAAGACAACCCCAAATGAAATGAGTGAACAGCAGCAGCAGCCACAACAGCAATGATAACAACATGAGGAGGGAGATGTAAGGTGAGAAGGCCATGTTAAAACACTCAGTTCTTGGTTTTCCACTCTTAGGCCCAACTCATCATTGGTTCTAATCCTTTTCCTTAGTCTTTTCAAAACTGAGCCTCCTGGATTCACTGGCATTAGTATTAAGAGAAGGGGGCTCTCAGGTCCACTAGATTAAGGAAAGTTGGAGGAGAGGGGAAGAGAAAGAACTCATCTTCTCAAGTCTCACATTTTCAAGGCTTCATGCTTTTAACACCAGACATCACAAACATTTTCCTTGCACGCTCAAAGAGATAACACAATCCTGCCAATAGCTGCTTTGTAAAGGTCAAGGAGAGAAAAATCTAGTGGCTGCATTTTTTACAAGGTTTTTCTGTCTTAATTTTCCTCAATAAATAGAAGTTGACCAAATTTTTGTATCTGACATTTTAGTTCTAATTGGTAGGAGGGTAGGAAAGGGGGAGTTAGTAACAATGCTGATGCTGATCAGAGAGCATCAAGGATAATGAATTTGAGAGTTGGGCTTTCCACTAATTTATAGGCTATAGATGACTCAGAGTAGAAATGTGAATGGGATGTTTTCTGCTGAAATAAGCTTTCACATAATAATAATGTTTTTCACAGGAATAAGTTATAATTGTACCACTTAGGGATTAACTATAAATATTATATAATAGCATGGGGTCATCTCAACACATGGTCTTTGTGTGTAATTTTCTACTAGTTTCATGCCAACAAGAATAACTTTAATAAGCCATTAATATTAAGGTATTTAATAAAGTAAATTATAATTTTAATGAAAATGGTATGAATTAAACTCAGTTATTTTCTCATTAGGTATTTCTGCTGGAAGGATGTGCAAGCAAGTTATATAGGTACAAGCTGCTGCTGTGGTCAAAGAACAAATGTGTAAAACAGTATATTCCTTGCACCTTAAATAAAAATTATCTAATTTTACATAAATTCACATATCCACAAAGTAGACAGTGCTTAAGCAAAATGTGATCCTAAGCATGAAATATTAGGCTATAAGAAAAAGCAGCAATATTAAATTTACATTAATCTATACGTGCTAACATGGAGACTACATCATTTAATGTGGCACTTTACCTGATTTCCCCCAAGACCATGACATGTATACATAATTAATGGTTTGGCTCCTTGGTTGTTTTCTCCAACATCCAAGCATGAATGGAGGCCTTTATTTTGTATCTAAAGGAAATTTTTTTTCAAGTTAATTATATTTAAAATTATTATTTATATACATGTTCAAGTAAGAGAAAAATCTCATAAGTAACCTTTCAACAAAGTCGACATTCTTGGGCATCTATCATGTGGTCAACAAATTCTATTATTCGAGTAAAATCATCATCAGTCACACAAAAAAATCACAGAATCTCAGACTTGAAAGGGTGTCTTGGTACAATAAGTAACCAACGAGGAAAAAAGAAGATACTTACGTATCCAGATATTAAAGGGTTAAGATCTGGCACATATATTTCTGGATAAACATTGTTTAAATACCAAGTAAAATTTTTACATTGGAGACGGTGTTTTATTTCAAGTCTTTTTGAAATATCTCCAAAAGTTTTCTGAAGGAAAATAAGAGAAACAATCAGAAGGTATAGAATATTTTATATAAACTCAGATCTAATTTTAAAACTTCAAATCTCTTTTTGGGGGGGAAGGAAGGATGTGTGCTCAAATTCAGGTCTCAAAAACTCTGGGCAACCAATGAATTTCAGCTTAACTGTACCAACTCGTGTCTAGATGATGACCTCTGTTTTCATAGAAGGTATCATCAATGGTGGTTCAGTGATTAGAAGTCATGAAAATACTTGCTCTACTACTTCTGACGTTGTTTGTCCTTCATTCTTGAAGAGGACCATGACATCAGGAAGGTGGTGCCATGACTTGCAAGTGAATTGGAGTTAAGTGAGGGAGGGTGTGCAAAGTCACCAGCCTCATGTTCTCCTAGATACAGTGGGAGACTTGGCCTTTTTAAGCTAAGGTCTCTCCCAGGTCTCAGTCTGACTGAGGCAATGCCCATTCAATGATTAAGGTTGGGTAAGAAATGAGGCAAAGAATGGCCTCTTTTACCTATTCCAGAAATCAAACAATAAAAAAAAATCTGGGAGGGAAGACCCTCAGGGTTTCTGGCCAAAACAGAAACAGCTGTACTACTTCAGATATATACCTCATAAGTGACAGAACTTCTCTCACCCAAAGGTATTCACTAAACCTTTTAAAATATGAGATGGAAGGGATCTTTCTAGATCAACTGTCCAATCCTCTTCAATTAACAGTCTGTGGAAGTGAATTGCCCAAAGTCAAATGATGGATAAGTGACAATGTTGGAACTTGAACCCAGATCTTTTGAGGCTAAATGAATTAAATTAGGAGTAGCCATAATTTACCAGGTTTATCTATGAAATAATTTTTTTAAGTAAAATCAATGAAACTCACATCACTAGATATAAATAAAAACAGCATTTATAGACTGTGACCTCCTACTATTTACAATTAAGAGTGTCAAAACAGTAGGATCAGAGGGTAATCTCATTTAGAGGGCTCCATTTACTTATTTCAAATGATAACATAGAAAAAAAATTAAATTAAAGCTTATTTCTCAAAGTATTTGTCTCACAGTTATGACTTCCCTCCCCATCAAAAAAAAACCAAATAAAAAATAGAAACATTACATTACAAAGATATCTCCAAGCAAAGCCAAGAACAATCATTTAGTTTACTAAACATTAAATCTTTTGTTTCATTTAAGAGTGAAGTGTCTAAGTGTAGCAATATAGTTAAGAATATTTTGTTCTATCCATCTACTAGTCCCTAAGCTCCATGAGGCAAGGGCCCAGTCTCATACATTTTTATATCTCTACCAGTGCCCAGAACAGTGCTGTGCACATAGTAAATGCATAACTCTTTGATGAATTAAATTGAAACTATGGTGTCAAATTCAACATATGAAAGCCTTGCCACAAAATTTGAGGAACTTCTGAAGTGAAAATATGTTGTTCTTGAATTTCTCACCAGGAAGTGGCTACTTAGCTATGTGCAATTCACCATATATATCTCTTAGTATGGGTGTGCTCTTTGCAGTTTGAGTAACAGGGTGAATGTGACTTTGACCTAAGAGAAAAGACAGTAACTAGTGTAATAATGCTATAAATGTGCTATATCCTTGTCATGTTACACTAACACTGAAATACTGATCCTAGTCATTTTGCATAAAGAAAAAAAAGACTAAAAATGTAATAACCTATTAAAATGAAAAGTTTGTTTTAAAATTCTTTCTACAATTGAAACAATGCCTTTGACTGTTTTTTTTTAATCTTTATTTTATGGTTTCTAGTTAGGAAGATTTCAATAAGGAATCTAATATGTGCAACTTCGATTTTTTGTTTATAACCTACCTGTTTAAAAATTTTTGCTGCTTCTGTGTTTCTTCGATAAAATATGTCTTTAAATTCATCCATCCAGACTTCTGCAAGACGAACTTGGTTACGAGCTATCACCTGAGTGCCTTTTGGAAACGTATGAGGGCTTTTGCTGCGAAAAACATGTCCAACAACAGAGCAAGGCATAATCTCCAACTGCCCACCACATTGCCATACCTGATAATTAATGATATTTTCGTATAAATTTACAGTATTTGGAAGATTTTTAACGTAAAATTAAAATCAAAGTGGTTTTCAACTTCATCTCTAAGTATCTTGCCAAAAAGACAGATGGGAGAAAAAAAGACATCTCAACTTCACAAATAGAGTTATTCTCCTGAAATTTAATATCACTTTCTTAAATTCACTTGTATCACTTTTTACAAAACAACCCATCCCTCAGTGGCAACTAAATCTACTTTTATTTTGGAAGGCCATCCACCCTGAGTTCAATTATCTCTCCAGTTCCATATCTCAAAACTTCTCTATGTCTTCATTACCTGTCCTCTCTTCCTTTGTTTCAGTTCCAGAGGATAAAGTTCTCCTTCTCTTTGCCAAGGCTAAGGGCTTTCCTGTGCCCTTAATCCTACCCCTTTACAACTCCACAAAGAACATGCCCCCTCAATCATTTCCTCTCTGTTTTCTTCAATCTCTTCCTAACCACTGGGTCCTTCCTCAATTGCTGCTTATAAACCTACTTTGGTCTCCTCCATATTAAAAAATACACACATACACACACACACACACACACACATCTTGCCATCCTTTCAAATTATTGTCTTCTGTCCTCCCTTACACTGCACTTGCCACATGCACTCCTTTACTGCAAACTCACTTCTCAGCCTCTTGAAATCTGACTTCTAATCCCACCCGACTGAAACCACTGTCTCAAAGATTACCAATGATTCCAAATGCTGAATCCTATTTCCTATTTTGGCTTTATCCCCTTGACTTTTTTGATGGACACTCCCCTTTTCTGGATTCTCTACTCTACCTTATATTATATAACCTGGCTGGTTCTTCTACCCATGCAAATGATCTTTAGCAACTTTTGCTAGATCATACTTAAGCTTTTCTAGCCTGTTTTTTTTTTTTGCTTTTTGGTTAGGCACTGGGGTTCAATGAGTTGCCCAGTATCACACAGCTAGTTATGTGTTATATGTCTGAGCCTGGATTTGAACTCAGGTCCTCCTGAATCCAGGGCCAGTGCTCTATCCATTGCACCACCTAGCTGTCCCAGCTTTTCTATCTTGTAAGCATAATTATTCCCTAAGACTCTGTCCTGGGACCTTTCTTTCTTCTTTCTCCACACTCTCTTATTTGGTGATCTCATTCAATTCCTGGGATTCACAGATGACTACCAAATCTTTACATTAAGACTTAATCTCTCCCCTAAACTCCAGCATATTGGACAATCATTGCCTGGAAATTTCAGGAGAATATCAAAACCAAACACATCATTTTCTCATTAATAAGAGAAGGACCAGAATTTAAGAATATTTCAAAGGACCAAGCTGCATCAATTGACAATACATTTTTTAATCCATAAGGCAAAGAAAATAGAGATAGTAAGATGACATTTTTCATTTTAAAGTAAAATTATAATAATTTTTGTGTCAATTGATGTTCCTGGTCCTTCTTAAACCTGTCTCTTCTCGAAATTCCTTTTTTCTCTGGTGGACAACATCATCCTCCCAGTCACCCCTGACTTCCCTCTCTCTTTTCTCTCTATCTAGTTGCTGCTCAAGTCTTTCCTTCCTATGCACTCCCATTGCTACCACCCTGATCCCTTATCACCTGTTGCCTATTATAATATGGTCTCACTCTCTCCCCTTTCACTTACTACTTCACATAATTGCTAAAACAAGCCTTCCTAAAACACAGGCTTGAAAGTGTCACTTCACCTATCAGAAGCTTTTAGTAGTTTCCTATTGTCCAGATGAGCATTTAAGACCCTCCATAATCTTCCTGCTACATACACAGACTCAGCCTTATTGCATATTACTCTTTCATGAATTCCACATTCCTATTAAACTAACCTACTAGCTGTTTCCTGAGCTCAACATTCCATCATCTGTCTCTGTGTATTCACACAGTAGTTTCCCTATGACTGCAATTTATTCTTCATCTTCCCCTTTCAAAATATTCCTACGAAGATCAATTCAGATGCAATCTTCTCCATGAAGTCTTCTCTAATGTGTTGCCTGCCCCACCAAGTTAGTGTACTTTCCCACTTCATATTTTCCCAGAGTCCTTTTTCAGAATTCTCATTTGCCTCCTTCACTGCCTACCTTGTATTATATTTTGTCCATGTACTTTGAGTGCCCCCAGTAGAATATAAGCACATTTTTTCAGGGCAGGAATTATTTAATTTGTGTTCTTGTTTACCCAGAGCCTAGCTTAGAGCATTATATATAATTCATGTTTCACTCACAGAGCTACAATTCACATGTTTACATTGAATGAACTAACATCAATATGAACATCTAACAACCTACAAAGCCATATGCCAGTAAGCAAACATTGCAGTATGTCGGACTGAAAATTCTGACTCTATTTTGGATGTTTTATATAAAACCTCACAAAATATAACTTCTACATTATTCAATTATGCATTCATTTATGCATTCTCCTTTGTCAACAGGTGGCATTTGTATAGTGTTTTAAAGTCTGGAAAGTGCTTTACATCTATTCTCTTACTTGAACCTTACAACTCTTGGGGGTAGATTCTACAGGTATAATCCCCATTTTACAGTTGAAGAAACTGAACCTCAGAGAGATTAAATGACTTGTCCATGGTCACACAGCTAGTTAGTGACAAATCCAACACCCTCAACATTATATTACGGTATATCTAGCAGCAAGTTGCAGATCTACTTATATTCAATGAGTGTACCAAGATAAAGGTCTCCATTGTATTATACATCTAACCACTCATACAACTTTCATGGTCATCATACATAAATGAGGTGGGCAAATGGAAGCATAGACCAGTAATCTAAGTATAGGAAGACCCAGGTTCTACTCTGCTCTAGCAAGACGTCAGTTTTATTTATTTTTTAAAATCTCACAGCAATAATGAATTATTGTTTTTATTACCATAAGGAAGAGAAGCCAGGTATTATTTGTAAAAACAAATATCTATCTTTTAAGTTGAAAATTCTTAATATGTGCTTCTTCCATTAACAAATGATTCAAGTGCGACTGTATCAATATTTTTCTCCTTAAATGTTTTTTTTTAAAATCAATTTTGTCTCCTTCAACTAAAGGCTCTAAATAACAAACATCCTGAAATCTGGTTAGTTATAAATCACAGAATCATTTTGTAATATTGTTATTCACACTGATGTTAGTTCATTCGACATAAACATGAATTATAGCTCTGTGACATAAAAAGTAGTTCTAAAATTTCATAGTATGAGCAAAACATTGTTGTTTTTTAAACCTTTAAACTATAACTTTCCAATCTGATGTTATACTTCTAAGGTAGCTGATGGGTAAAATGGATAGAGTGCTGGGTCTGGAGTCTGAATCCTTGGATTCATATCCAGCCTTAGACACTTACTAGGCTCTATGACTCTGGGCAAGCCACTATTTTCCTCAGTTACTTCAACTGTAAAATGGAGATAATAAAAGTATCTATTTCACAGGGCTTTTGTGAAGATCAAATGATATTTCTAATAAGCACTTAGCACAGTGCCTTGAACATAGCAAGCATTATATAAATGCTTATTCCCTTTCCTTTCCTTCTGGTTATGAATATCTAATTGAATATTGTAAAATTTGATTACAATCTGATAAGTTAAATCCAGATGAAATGTTGACTCAACATTACTCATATCAATGTCTTCAATCTTTAAAAATATAATAAGGAACTTAAGATTCATTATTGCCACTACATCGTATAATGCTTTGCCATTTATGAAGAGCATTTATATTTCCAATTTGATCCATAAAAGAATCTTATAGGGTAGGTGGGGCAAATATCATTATCCTCCCCTTTACAGGAAGCCCAGGCTTCTTGATCTGCAAAATATCTGCTGAAGGTCCTCTGGTCGTAAATGCTATAATGGAGATTTGAACCCAGGTCTTCTACTGCTCTAAAGCATACTAAGGGGTGAAAACAAATCATGACAAACATTGAAAATAAATCTCATAAGAAGAAATTGTTCAACCAAAAGTATTAAGTGCTCCCTATGTGCCAGGCACTGTGCTAAGCAATGGAACAAATAAATGTGAGTCATATGTGGGTGAGCATCCAAAGCTGCTGCTTTGCTTCTTATATTAGAGTTAGTATTACACACTACATTCTACCCAGAAAACTGCTTCCTTTGTTCAAACAACTAAGTCCTATGACCTTTAAAATCTTATATAATCATTTTTCCATTCTGATTCCTTTGGCAATCAAATTATTTCCTGAAGCATAATGATCTGATTATATTTATCTTAGCTATAAGTGCATTAATAGGTATTATTGCTCAAACACATGGGCTTAACTCTATTCTCTTGTATTTCTGCAGCATTAAATATATCAAATTATATGTTTAAAAGGAAGGTTTTTCTTCCAAATTTTCTAGCACTTAAAATTTAAAGTGCATGTAACACACACTTTATAATCCATATCAATTGGTTTGCACAAAGTAGTCCAAATGCTTAATATAGTTAATCTCCAATAAACTTACTCTGAAAGACATTTCTATATTTTCTCCTCCCCAGATTTTCATTTCTTCATCATAAGTTCCAATATATTCAAAATATTCTTTTGATATAGAAAAAAGACCGCCCGCAAAAGTGGGTGTTCTGCAAAACAAAGTCAAGGTGAAACTTAAAAACAAAACCAAAAACCAAAATAAGGGTTTTTTTAAGAGCTAATGGAACCAAATAAAAGTTAAAGAGAGCATTTTATAAATGTCACTTCAAAATCAACTTTTGAAGAAAATAGTCAAAGATGCTATCTACACTAGGCCCTTTACTAGACAAGTCATTCTCAGTGGCATGAAACATAAGGAAAAGGAAACACGATTTTTCCTATTTCCCCAATTTGATGTTAACTTCAATTACTTGCTACTTAGCATGAGTTGGATTAACAGTGCTATGCATTTGGGAGTCAGAAAACCTGGGTTTGAGTCCCAGGCATGCCATTTGTCAGAGGTGTGACCTTTAGCAATCCACTTCACCTTTGGGGGCTTAAGTTTCTTCATTTGTAAAATGACTACATGACCATGTAATCAGGACTATATAACTCCATTCTTACTTTAAATCTATAATCCTATGACTCTGTACGTCAGGACTAACCCAAGTATAGAAAGTGCAAAAATAATTTGTGGAGTAAATCAACCTTCATGTATATTTATTGACATAAGATTTGGTTAATCACCTAATTGGATAGGTTTCATCTTTTCTTCTTTGCTTTTCATGATCAGGAAGAGATTCCCAGCCAAATGATAAACTCCAGTCAAAATTTCCACGGTTATGGTTATGTCCATAAGGAGAAGGTTTGCTGAATTCAAAAGTATTAAGATCTATTGTTGCAATATCTGGACTTACAACTGCCGTGTGGTTTTCAGCTATTCTTGATAACAAAGGCTCTAACCAACCATAAAAGCATTCACCTGGTGGGAACAAAATTTTAATTACTTAAAAAAGACATGAAGTTTTTTTTATTTAACAGAAAAAATAAGTATACTATAAAATTATTTACATTTTGGATGTTACTTTATACTTAAAATTGGCTGCCTATATATATATATATATTTTTTTTTTTTTTTTTACTTTGCCTAATAAGCTCTTCCAAAGACAAAAAGCCTTAATGGAAATGCTCCAAGTTATTATTGACATTTAAAATTCACTGAATTCATAAACCCAAGAGATAAAATGGGTATCTAAAAAGCTGGGCAGGGAGGAAGAGGTGCACTCAAACACTCATAGTAATGATTGCTAATAGTAGAAGGGTAAAGAATGCAAAAAACACATGCTCCTAGAAGAGATAATAGAGAATAAAGCTGGGTCAGGACAAAAGCAATTTGGCCCAAAGACTGTTGATGATGGTTATTATAAAAAAATGAAAACTAGTAAGTAGTTTATATTTTCCATAGCACTGATAGATTAAGGGTAGAGATAAACAACACAAATCTAGCATCATGTAAAGATATTTCAAAGAAAAGTTTCTTTGAAGATTTTGTAAATCTTAAAAATAATGTAAACATAGGAGTGATTATCTTCTGAAGAATGTGCATCTAAAAATGAAAGCTCATTAGGAGAAAGGTTAAGACTAGCTAATGCTGGATAGCAGCAGGTTCAAACACTACAGAGAACAGAGCTCCATGTGACAGAGTGGTAGCTCACATCCTTAGTTAGGCATGGGTGCAAGTTATCAAGGTTGTCACTTTCATTGTGGAGGAGCTGGTCCTGAAGAAGAGCCAACAAGACCAGTCAGTATCCCTGAAAGGCCAAGGTTAAGCAATTTTTGGAAAAAGGATATGAAGAAAAAATAGATTTTCTTTAAAATTTGCAATGTTAAAAGACTTAATTACAGATACTTACAGTGGGAATCTAAAAAGGTGAGTGTTTCAGCAGTTGCTACTGATGCTCCTAACAACCGGGCATTGATCAGACCTTGTCTTTCTTTTTGTCGGACAACTTTTACTATTTGAAACTGCTTAATATATTCATATAGTTTATCATGCAAATATTCTGTAAGAAAAACATTCTACTTTAAGAATTTATTTTTATATTCAACACCTAGAAGTAAAATATACAAAATATAAACACAATTTCAAAAATACAAACAATATACCAAATAAAAACAAAAACAATGCAAAATAATCAAATAAAAACAGTGCTGAGACATTGCTTTAGTAGCCAGTTATACATAGTCCTTCAAATCAAGAAAAAAATTAATATTTTAATCTCTATTTAACTCTTCATAGCTGGATAAAAATAACTTTCTTAAGTATTCTAAGCTATGACGTGTACCGCACAAAACACTTGCAACACACAAAACACTTATCTTCTACCTTTCATATAGATTAGTGATTTTAAAGGTTTTAGGGAAAAAAAATGAGAGGGGATAGGGAATTAGATGAATGGCTGTCAAGTGGGGCCAGAAGAAAGTATTTAGAAGTCAAGAGATTTTACTGAGTGTCAAATGAAACACATTTAGATTTAAAGAAGCAAATTCTAATAAATCTTTTAAAACTTGGGGTGAAAACAGGAGTCTTAGAGAAAAAAGGATAAATATAGGATCTAGAATAACCTTGTGGCTTTCCCAACTTGATGAAGGAATCAGATGCAACTATCTGGGAATACACCCTGCCAGAAAGTTAATTACCTAGATGTGTTGTCAGAAGACTTATTAGTACCAAACTACCTACTACTAAGTTTTAAATTCTTGCAAAATTGAGTTTCCAAGATACAACTAGCATGAAAAGCATATGTTAATTAAGACCAAGGAAATATGTAACAATATGCCTGTCACAGAAACTTGTAATTCCAAACTAAGTGAAATGTCTATTGGATAAAAACTGGGACAAGCAAGTAATGGGAAAAACCAATAAGTCAATCAAATATGGTCACTATTTATAAACATTTGCCTATTTGCTCAAATACACTTAAGTCTTGGTTACTTATAAATGCTACATGTGACCTTCTTCCTGTACTGGTTCTTAGTTTTCACAAATGCTTCAATGAGACATGAAAATATGAAGAAGGCAAATGCATATTCAGAGAAGTACAGGTACATTAAATATGTTGTTTATTCTATCACTCATTAGAAAGGACAACAGAGTTGACTGCTTAAAACATGAAGGAGGAAGGATTCTGGATCAACTGAGTAGAAAAGTAAGCCTATGTAAACTGTTCCCTAAATATATTAGAAATAGTTACCAGAAACAAAAATGGAAATAAAAATTGTCAAGAAAACACATAGATGAGTTCTACTTTAACAAATTAAGAATTTATAAATAGATGTATTACAGGTTTTTAAAGGTGTATTCTTTTTATTTATTCATTTATTTTGAGAAAGGCTGGGATTCCCTATATCACTCAGGCTGGAAGTGCAGTAGCCACTTACAGGCCTGATCCCACTATGGAATGGCACCAGGAGCTTTGACTTGCTATGTTCCTGACCTTGGCTAGTTGCCCCCTCCTTAGGCAGTCTGATCCCTGCCCTCCCTAAGCCTCCTCTTCCTCCCTCTTACCCCCCTACACACCCCAAGGCCTTGCTACGTAATGCTGGCCTTGTTGCAGACAACCAGTAGCTTAGCCCTACTGCTGTAGCTCAGAACTCCCTAACTTGAACGATCCAACAGTATCAGTCTCCTTAACATCAGTAATTACAGGCATCTGCCACTACTTTTTGATATTTTTTTTAAAAAAGGAAGCACAGTGGGTTTCCTTTCACAAAAGCACCTCCCTCCAATGTTTTTTTTTAAAAAAAGAACTAGAAAATTTAGATTTCAGTGCAACACATCAGTTCATGTTAATCTCACTCTCCTCTAAATCCAGAGTCAACACTATTCATTTGGTTATTTATGTTTTCTTTGTCATATATTACTACTAAACTCATATTATTCTTTCATTTTACTTTTTTTCTTTCATTTTAATATGCTTATATCTCATCTCCCCAACTAGATTATGAAATCAAGCAGACAGCAGGGACAGTATCGTATACTTCTTTCCCAGCACCCAGCAGTTACTTCACTGAATACGTCTTTAATAGATAATTTAGGATTGTAAGATTTTTAGAACTGGAAAGGCTTTCAGAGATCATTTAATCTGGCAGGGTTTTTTTAAACATTTGAAGAAGCTGTGAAAGACAGAGACATAAAGGTCTCCTAAAGGTGCCCAAGGTCATAAAGGTGGACAAACTGCATAATAATTTAGACACCTATAATTTAGACAAAAGGTTAGAGCTACCCTCCAAAACTATTTATTCCCACAGGGACTATTTAGAAACCTGGAGAGAAAGTAATAATCCCCAAATTGATTTTTTCAAAATAATTCATTCTATTTAAATAATCCTGAAGTTATGAAGAATGGTGCATTTTACAATTTATTTTTTTTAATTTTTTTAAATATAAATTTATTTTTAGTTTTCAATATTACTTCCACAAGATTTTGAGTTCCAAATTTTCACCCCATCTCACCCCTCCCCCCACCCCAAGATTGCATGCATTCTGAATATCCCTTCCCCTAGTCTGTCCTCTCTTCTATCTCCCCCCCCCCTTCTCTTATCTCCTTTCCCTTCGATTTTCCTGTAGGGCAGGATAGACTTCTGTACCCCATTTCCTGTATTTCTTATTTCCCAGTAGCATGCAAAAACATTTTTTTATAAACATATGTTTTTAAAACTTTAGGTTTCAAATTTTCTCCCTTCCTCCCTCCTCACCCACCCTCACTGAAAAGGGAAGAAACTCAATATAGGTTATACATGTGTAGTTATGCAAACCACTTCCATAGTAGACATGTTGTGAAAAACTAACTCTATTTCCCTTAATCCTATCCTGCCCTCCCAGTTATTCTATTCTTTCTTTTGACCCTGTCCCTCCTCAGAAGTATTTGCTTCTGATTACCCCCTTTCCCAATCTGCCCTCTTCTCTGTCATCCCTCTGCTCTCTTGTCCCCTTCTTCCCCTATTTTCCTGTAGGGTAAGACACATTTCCATACCCAACTGAATATGTATGTTATTCCCTCCATAAGCCAAATCCTATGAGAATAAGATTCACTCATTCCCTCTCACTTTACCCCGTTTCCCCTCCAATGTAAAAGCCTTTTCTTTTCTTTTTGGTTTTTTTTTGGGGGGGAGATAATTTACCCCACTCCACCTCTCCCTTTCTTCTTCTCCTAGTATAATTCTCTCTTATCCCTTAATTTTATTCTCCAGATATGACCCCTTAATCTTCAACTCACCCTGTGCCATCTGTCTATCTATATACATACATATAATTTTTTTCCTCCAACTACCCTAATATTGACAAAGGTCTCATGAGTTATAAATATCATCTTTCCATGCAGGAATGTAAACAGTTCAACCTTAATAAGTCTCTTATGATTTCTCTTTCCTGTTTACCTCTTCATGTTCCACTTGAGTCTTGTATTTGAAAGTCAAATTTTCTATTCAGCTCTGGTCTTTTCATCAAGAATGTTTGAAAGTCCTCTATTTCACTGAATAACCATTTTTTCCCCTGAAGAATTATACTCAGTTTTGCTGGGTAGGTGATTCTTGGTTGTAATCCTAACCCCTTTGCCCTGCGGAATATTATACTCCATGCCCTGCGGTCCTTCAATGTAGAAGCTGCTAAATCTTGTGTTATCCTGATTGTGTTTCCACAGTACTTGATGATGTCTAGGCCCTTTTTTTGATCATGGCTTTCAGACAGTCCAATAATTTTTAAATTCTCTCTCCTGGATCTATTTTCCAGGTCAGTTGTTTTTCCAATGAGACATTTCACACTGTCTTCTAATTTTTCATTCTTTTGGATTTGTTTTACAGCGTCTTGATTTCTCATAAAGTCACTAGCTTCCAATTGCTCTATTCTAATTTTTAAAAGAAGTATTTTCTCCAGTAATCTTTTGGACTTCCTTTTCCATTTGGCCAGTTTTTCTTTTTAGGGCATTCTTCTCCTCATTGGCTTTTTTGGACCTCTTTTGCCATTTGGCTTAGGCTATTTTTTAAAGTGTTATTTTCTTCAGTATTTTTTTTGGGTCTCCTTTAGCAAGCTGTTGATTTGTTTTTTGTGATTTTCTTGCATCACTCTCATTTCTCTTCCCAGCTTTTCCTCTACTTCTCTTATTTGCTTTTTCAAAATCCCTTTTGAGATCTTCCAAGGCCTGGGACTGATTCATATTTTTCTTGGAGACTTTGGATGTAGGAGCTTTGACTTTGTTGTCTTCTTCTGGTTGTATATTTTGATCTTCTTTGTCACCAAAGTAAGATAATATAGTCTGACTCTTTTTGCACTGCTTGCTCATGATCCCGACCAATTACTTGAGTTTTAAACTCTTTGTTAGAGTCTGCTTCCCATGTGGAGAATGTACTGTCCCAAGCTTCAGGGGTTTGTACAGCTGTTTTCAGAGATACTTGAAAGGGACCTGTAAATTTTCAGTTCTTGCAAGGTGATATGATAAGAGGCGAGGTATTTACTCCTTTCCTTTCCTGTGCTCTGGTCTATTAGTGACCACAAGTACTCCTTTCTGTCCTGGAACTGTGAGGAGGGTTTCCTCTTTACCACCACTACAAGCTCCACCATGCCAGTGCTCCTCCTCACCTCAAGACCACCACCCAAAACTGTGACCCAGATCCAAGCACGGACAAAGCAAGAGATTCCTGCCTCAGCACTGGCAAAGAGATCACTGCAATCTCCCTCTGATCAGACACTCGATTTCCCCTCAGTCTGTGGGCCAAAAGCTCAGGAGGCAGCTGCCCCCCCAACCCAGGTCTCGCTTTAAAGGAACTGGATCTGAGACCCCTCTCTCAGCACAGTAGAAACAGACTTTTCCCACTGACCTTCTAAGTTGTCTTTGGCATACATGGATTGAGGAGTCTGGAAACCACTATAGCTGCCTGATGCAGTCCTCTGAGGCCTGCTCCAGGTTCCCTGTGGCCTGCACGCCCATGCCGCACTGCGCTCCTCTCCCCACCTGGTGAAATATATCTTTCTGATCAACCATCCAGGTTGTCAGGCTGGAAATTTGTTTCACTCTGTCTTTTTGTGGGTTCTGCTACTTTAGAATTTGTTTAGAGCCATTTTTTATAGGTATTTGGAGGGGGTTGGGGGAGAGCTCAAGCAAGTCACTACTTTGACTCCGCTACTTTGGCTCCTACAATTTTTCTTCAGCCCTCAAAAATACTCATATGTTCATTCCCATTGAACTCAACTTTCCTTCAACACAGGTCATCCAAGGAAAGATGGCACACCTCTCTGAGAAGGTAGATTGATAGGAGGGTAACTCTTCCTAAATAGATTTTAGCCAACCCCACACAATCTTATAAAGGATAATTTAATTGCATTTTTTTCTTACCGTCCTCACTGGCATCATCTACCAAAATGATTTCTTTCAGTAGTATGGCTGGTGAAGAATAGAGTACACTGTGGACTGTTCTAAGCAGCGTAGACCATGCTTCATTGTGAAAAATTATTATGACACTTGTGGTAGGCAAGGGAGGACAGCGTTTAAATTTTTGCTCAATACATCTGGAAGTTAAAAAATAGTCAAAGTTACAGATTTCATATGTTATCTCTGATCTAACATTAATTACAGCAACATTAGGTTTTTTCTTTTATAAACCTCTCTGAGCACTGCAGTTATAGGTGCTATTTTCTTATATTTGCTATAATGCAAACAGATCAATGAAAAATTCTTTTAGAAAGGACTTTGCCCAAGAAGACACTAAATCCATGAAAAGGCAACTGTCAGCAGTGTACTAGGTACATAGAAAGCAATAAAGCACAGTCCTGTAGCTTCAGTTAGCATAACAATTACACATCTAATATATTTCTTATACTAAAAACAACTTATAGATATAATCTGAATATTAATTCTTTCCCTTAAAAACAATCTGATTTTCTCCTTCCATTTAACCTGTAAATGTATAACATATTGTTAAACACTCTATTCAATTAAATTTTCAGAATACAATATTCACACAAAAAAAGCTATTTAAATTTTATTTTGCAAGCTAAGTTGACACAAATAAAGTTACTCACCTTATCTTCTAGTAAATAAAAAAAAGCTTTTTTTCTCAAAATGTTATCATATCAAAAAATACTAATCCAAAACAAAATAATACTCAACAAATCAAATTACCTCAGTGTACTTCAGGGTTTGAAGGGACCTGAGAAAGAAATCATCTAACTTTTGACCTAGAACAGGGAAGTCTTCTACAACATATCTGATAAATGGTCCACAATAAATTCTCTCCGTGATTCTCAAATCTGCATATCCAGTCTTCATTTCTCTCCCAAGTTCCAGTTCTCTGTCTCCAAATACCTATGGGACATTTCCACCTGGATGTTTTCTAGGTATATCAAACTCAACATATCCAAAACAAAACTCTTATCTCTCATTCCCTACCCTATTCTCTTCCTAACTTCCCCATTCATTTAGTGGCATCACCACTCTTTTAATCACCTAGGCAACCTAGGAGTCATCCTCAATTTTTCACCAATCCTCACTTTCTATGTCCAATCAATTGCCAAATCTATCAAGTACCCACTCCACCATCACTATCTCTCACCTCTGTCTCCTTCTGTATCCCCCCACTAAAATACAGACACACACTCCAAATCCAAGAAGAACCTAACTGCTCTCCATGCACCCCCTCAGTCTTATAATATATATATATATTGTTGCCAAACTTATGTCTAAAATTCAAGTCTGACCACACTAATCCCTGCTCAGAAAACTTCAATGGTTCATGAGAAATAGAAGGCAGGGGTCCTATGACCCAGTAATAACTACTGTTAGGACTATATCTCAGAGATTTAAAATTTTTTTTTAAAAAAAAGGAAAAGGACCCATATGTACAAAAATATTTATAGCAGCTCTTTTCGCAATAACAAAAAATTAGAAACTGAGGGGATGGCCATCAATTAGGGAATGACTGAACAAGCTGTGGTATATAATTATGATGAAATGTTATTATGTTGTAAGAAATAATGAGCAGGATGATTTCAGAAAAACCTAGAAAGACTTCTATGAACTAACGCAAAGTGAAGCAAGCAGAACCAGAACATTGTACACAGTAACAGCAATATTGTACGATGATCAACTGTGAAAGACAGCTATCTTCAGCAATACAATGATCTAAGACAATTCTGAAGGGCTTAAGATGAAAAATGGTAGCCATTTCCAGAAAAAGAACTGATGGAGTCTGAATTCAGAAGAAAACATACAATTTTTTTTTACTTCATTTCTTATGAGGATTTTTTTGAGGGGGAGGGGTCTGTGTTCTCTTTCACAACATAACTAATATGGAAATATGATTTGCATGACTGTACTGCACATTATAACCTATATCAAAGTGCTTGCCTTCTCAATTGAGGAAGGAGGGGAAGAAGGGAGAGAATTTGGACTCAAAATTTTAAAAAATGATTGTTAAAAGTTGTTTTTACATGTAATTGGAAAAAATAAAAATACAAATTTAAAAATTAAAAGAAATTAAAAAAATAGGGGTGGGTGGGAGGTGGAAGAAGGAAAGAAGAAGGAAGGAAGCTGTGGACACCAGGAAAAGCCTCAGGCATAATGTAAATCTTCAATGGAATCTTGAAGGAAATCAAGAATTCTAAGATAATTGCTAAAGGTATCCCAAAATAACCACTACAATACTCTTCATGAAAGCAAAGAAATGGAAACAAATTTGATGGCCATTAACTGAGAACAGCTAAAAAGTAACCTCTACTATGGGATAGCAAAGGACTATTATTGTGTAGTAAGAAATTACAAAAGTGCAGAATTTGAACAAATGAGGGACAATTTGTATAAATGGATGCAGAGCAAAATTAAACAGAACCAAGAGAAATATGCAGTGACTACAACAGTGTAAATGAAAAGATAACCAAAAGGAAGTTGAAATTGAAGGAAATGAAAAGTCAGTTAAATTTCTGGACAAAAGAAAATAAAACAAATCTTTCTTCTTAAGCCAAAAGAATACTAAAACAGAATATTATATGCACTTTTCAGAAGTGGCACTGCACAAGAATTTTTAGCTTAAATTTTCCTCTTCTTTTTAAGGTGTTCAATCAGTGAAGACTGGTGCTAAAATCATTGCTTTTTGTTAAAAACCAAAATGTTTTCTTTCTTAAATCTGGCTTTGACAAGATCTTTGTGTAGTCATATTTGTCATTTTAGATACTTTCCATTTTCTTCTTCTTACAGGAATCATTTGTGATTGCATCATCAAAATTGAGTTCTTGAGAATTTCTCATCCTCTTTTTGATCCAACATGATCTCTAAGAGAGTATGGTGTCTTATTCCCAAGGTTTCTACTCTACTTCAAAAGTCAGTTCCTCTTGGTCGGTTTTCTCTACTGTCAGAGGGATGGATTTATCAACAACACACACAAGAATTTACCAGATTCTACCAAAGGCCCCTCCAGCAGGGTTTGGAAAGCTTAAACTCATAATCTCACCAAATTTTTGTCCTGCTCCAGATCATCAGGAACATGCATCATCCATTTACTCTCTTTGGGCTTGATAGTCTATCTGTTCCTACCATGTTTCCTCCCACTCTTTAAGTTTAACCTAATGTTCAATAGTTAAAACATTTATTATAAACTAAGTATACCAGAAGTTTATAACTTCTTTAAAAGAAACTACACAAGTTGAATTGCTGGGGAGAGGAATAGAGAAACTTCGCAAATAAGATTCAGTATCATAATTACTCGAAGAATCTTTTTTTTTTTAAAGAAAAACTAGCATTACAAACTTCGGTGACATCAAAATCATCATACTACCAAAGAGAAACCTTCACTAACTTTTCTGTTTACACCTCTCCCTTGGTCACATTTTTTAATCTAACCCTTTTTGCATACTGTCCTGCCTTCAACGGATATTACCACACTACTTTTGGTGTTCATGTTATAATATTATGCAAGCCCTGCCATTTTTTTTTTTTGACAACTAGATCCTATCTGAAGCTCAAGTTACATAAAAGTCTAGCAGGATCCTTGTTTTGTTTACCTCCTCAGTATGAGACAAGTATAACTCAATTTATAACCAAGTTGAAAAAGTTCTTTCCTGATTTCTCAGAACAAGCTAATGCACATCATCTCAGAGTGGCCTAGGCCTGGAGCTAAATCCTAAAGTGCCTGAGGCACTGGAAACAAATAAACTTTTGACTTTCAAGCTGTATCACACCAATTCTTTTTGTTTTTAGGCAATTGGGGTTAAGTGACTTGCCAACGGTCACACAGCTAATAAGTGACAAGTGTTTGGTCTGAGGCCAGATTTGAACTCAGATACTCCTGATTTCAGGGCCAGTGCTCTATCCACTGTGCCACCTAGCTGCCCCTCTATCAGATCAATTCTTGATGGCAAATTTTTATGGGAGGACAGGGATAGGAACTACACTGTGATTTTATTGGTACAGGAAATTTCCAAGTGAGGAAACTCCCTCTACCAGTGTATGCTCTGATGCCAGTACTTCCACCACTACTCCAGGCTGCCTCTGATACAGAGAAATAACAATGGCACTGGGAAGATTGGGGTGAGGGAAGGGTTTGGAGGGAAATGAAGCATCTCTGGGAGGTGAGGTGGGTAGATATGAAGACCTAGTGAACTGAAAGAGATTAACTACTATCAAATCAAATACTTATCAAATTTATAGATTCACAAAGCTGAAAAGGACAGCTAAAATCATTGGATGAGAATCAGGATTCAAAAAGATTTGGAAAAGTTACACTGTACCAAATCTGAGGTGATGAAATTAACAGGGATAAATGTGAAGGCTTATATTTGGATTAAAAAATAATAATTAACCGGGGCAGCTAGCCCCAGCCCCGGATTCAGGATGACCTGAGTTAAATCTGGCCTCAGACACATAACACTTAATGACCTTGAGCAAGTCACTTAACCTCATTGCCTAGCCAAAAAAAAAAAAAACCAAAACCCACAAAATATAAAAGGAGGACATTTGATTGGACAGCAGTCTGAAGAAGATGTAAGTGTTTAAAGGGACTGTAACTGCTATGTGAATCAACAGTGGGACAATGAGGCAGCTAGGTGGCACAGTGGATAGAATGCTGGGCCTAAAGTAAGGAAGAGTCCTCTTCCTGAGTTCAAATCTGGTCTCAGTCACTTACTGTGTGACCCTGGGCAAGTCACTTAACTCTATTTGCCTCAGTTTCCTCATCTGCAAAATAAGCTGGAGAAGGAAATGGCAAACCACTCCAGTATCTTTGTCAAGAAAACCCCAAATGGGGTCATAAAGAGTCAGGCATGACTGAAAATAACTTTACAAGGACTAGGGAAAAATAATCCCACTATAATACTCAGACCCAGTCAGACCATGTCTGGAGTACTGAAGACTCTAGATGAAGAACATTTTGGAAGGATGTTGAAGAGGTAGAGTGCGTCCTAAGGAAGGCAACCAGAATGGTAAAAGACTTTGAATTCATACTTTATAAGAACTGAGGAAACTGGGGATCTTTAGTCTGAAGAACATTCAGGAGGGACACTATAGCAACTTTTAAGTTATCTCAAAGGTTGATATATGGAAGAGGGATTAAACTTCTGCTTCTTCGACCCAGATGGCAGAATTAGGAGCAATGCTTGGACACAGAAATGAGGGTACTTTAGACTTGGGTATGAGGAAAAAACTTCCGACATCTATGGGTTCTCCCCTTACTCTAAATCTTCAAGCAAAAACTGAAGCATCATTTGTGGGCATGTCGTATGGGACATTCTAATTCAGGTATGGGTTGGACTAGGTGGCTTTGGAGGATCTTCCCAATTTATATTCTGGATTCAAGGTAGAAGAGTGTTGCCCAAAATGAACACCTCTCTTCTCTCTCTTATTCTAACTACAATTTAAAAGTAATGGTTGGGCAACAAGGTGGCACCATAGATATAGCACTGGCCCTGGAGTCAGGAGGACCTGAGTTCAAATCCGGCCTCAGACACATAACACTCACTAGCTGTGTGACTCTAGGCAAGTCACTTAAACCCAATTGCCTCACCCCAAAAAAAAAGTAATGGTCTCTCCTAAATCCTATTTAAATGCAGAATACATGACTATGATAATTAAAAATAAGTCTAACAAATGCAAACCTGACTTTTGAATATGACACATGGAAAACACAAACAAAAACACAATACAATATGTAAAATCTATCTAAAGTTCTATAATATAGATTTTCATGGGAAAAATGGTAAAGTTTGGTATATATGTATTGTCTTACAAGCATTCTCTGTTCAAATAAGTATTTAGAGGGGCAGCTAGGCGGCACAGTGGATAGAGCACCAGCCCTGGATCCAGGAGGACCTGAGTTCAAATTTGACCTCAGACACTTAACACTTACTACCTACGTGGCCCTGGGCAAGTCACTTAACCCCACTGCCCAGCAAAAACAAACAAACAAATAAGTATTTAGAAAAGGGTGGGGCAGTGATGACAGGTTTGGTTTTTTTTTATGCTAGTACCACTCATATGAGTTATATAACTCATTCATACAACTATAAACAAAGATATAAAGAAATTCTGGAGAATTAACATAAATATGATCATTTAAACTGGTTTTCCTTTAAATATCTTACCATTTCCTCTTTCTGTCAAGTTTTAGCTAGAATTGTGTGTGTTAAGCCTGCAGCTTCTAAATTCAAGGTAGCAAAAGGTGAATATGCAAGCATCAAAGCCAATATTTTCATAAAATTTCACTGTAGAAGCTCCTTCAACTTACACAATATCTATTCAAAATTTAGCACAAAGTGCTTCTTTTTAAAATGACATTAAAAAAAACTTACATAAATCTTTTAAAGTAATAAAATTAGAATAATGCAATTTGTCATACCATACATTTAAAATTTTTTCCCCTGAACCTGAGGTGGGACATTTTAAGTCTAGTGTTTTACAGGATCTGAACATACTTATTTTTCTGACTGACTAGTAGGTGGAATAAGACAATCAATTCTTCAAAGGGACATTAGCAGACACAATTTGTCATTTTTCACTTGTGCTGGCTTCAAAGTAAAAAAAACTAAGAAATGCAATTTCAATCAAGTTAGTCCTGAGCAATCTGGAGCTTTTGGATGTCTGGGTGTTTTGTTTGTTTGTTTTTTAAAGCAATCAGCAATTCTTGTTACTTAATGATTAACAGCAATGAAAGTTAATGTTATATATAGGAAGAAAGTAGGAAAATGTTTAGGGTATTGGAAAATATGATTTCTCAATCCTGTACTAGAAATGTGTCCATCTCAAACAAAAACCAAATCATAATGAAAAGTAAAAATTCATAATGATGGGTTTGTGGAACAATTTTTCTTTTAAGCACTAACCCCAAATCAACATAATGAAATAGTGAATGCCTTCTTACTGGCCTGCAAGAAGCAATTCTGCATTTCACATACTATATTACATAAACATACATATATACATGTGTGTAGATGCATGTATTTATGAATGTGTGTTTGTGAAAAGAAAAGGCTGAGAGTGAAACACTTAAGAGAAACTAGGTACTTTGAAAGGCACATTTCAATTGTTTTATTATGTGGGAAAAGTCAATTCTACTTACACAGTCCCTTATATCAGAATTAAAATATTCTAAAAAAGTTCTTTCATCTCATTATAACATTTCTGTATAACTAACTTACCTAAGATCACACGGAAGAGACAAAGTCAAAAAGGAAAGAAACCTATCCTGCCAACTTTAGTTTCAGTGTAATCTGATTTAAGTGGGACAATCTAATCATTTTGGCAGATAGGTCTTGGGTAATTAGGCTCCCCCACCACCCCACCCCTTTCACTGTAACCCATTTAGCTGCCAAAACTGAAATTGTTAATACAGGAAAAGCAAGGGCGTGTACATTGTATGCTTAAGTTTTATACTTATCTTATACCCTTACACTCAACAGGTATACTGATAACAATGGTATTTATTCTAACAGTTCTTTAGTTTAACCTAACAGCTGTCAATATCACTTCTCTAATGTGAAAAATCATAGTTAACTTGCAACTAGAAAGAAGAATGACAAAGGCTATGCACCCCAAACTATTGAATATAAGGTAAACCATACAAAATTATTTTTAATAAATCTTATTTGGCAGAAAAGATGAGAAAATAACTCTTAAGTCCTAAATATTCATTGGTATAGAAGGAATAAGATTTTAAGAAACTGCATAATGGTTATTAATTCCTAGAGGGCAGAAACCTGGCAGAAATAACTGTACCAGGATGCCTTCAAAAAAGGCAACCAGCAAAACACTGGGCATTTTATTAGAGAAACTGCCAAGTATATTGGTATTATTCCTGTGGAACTTAAAAAAAATGTCTTTATAATAGCTCTAGTGGCAAAGAATTGGAAATTGAGAGGATGCCCATCAACTGGGGAATGGCTGAGCAAGTTGTGGTATATGAATGTAATGGAATACTATTGTTCTATAAGAAATGATGAACAGGCTGACTTCAGAAAAACCTGGGAAGACTTATATGGTCTGATGCTGAGTGAAGTGAGCAGAACCAAGAGGACTTTGTATACAATAGCAGCCACGTTATACAATGACTAAGAATGTTAAACTGAACCCTTCTCAGCATTACGAGGGTCTGAGACATCTCCAGAGGCCTCGGGATGGAAAATGCTGTCCACATCCAAAGAAAGAACTATGGAAGTCGAATCGCTCTCACTTATTTTTACCTTAAGTTGAATTTTGTTTCCTCTTTCTGATGGTTCCTCCTATTGGTTCTAATTTTTACTTACAACTTCACTAATGTGAAAATATGTTTAATGGGTATGTAAATGTAAAGCCTATGTCAGATTGTGCGCAGTCTTGGGGAGGGTGGGGGGGGCAGAAAAAATTTTCAACTCAAAAGCATATGGAAAAAAAAATTAAAAAAAATATAAAAAAATATAATAATAGCTCTATCATATTTAACACCTTTATTGTCAATATTCCTCTGAGGTAGGAAGGTATTACACAAGTCAGAAATAAAATGTTTGAAATATTTCACAAACCTATGCATGCGCGCTCACACGCACATGCATACATTACATACACATGCTCACATTAGAGCTAGAAGGAACACTATATACAGTGTGTTAAGTATGTATCTCTGTGCATATGTTTACATACAAACACACAGAACACATGTATATATACATACTCATACACTCATATACTTAACAGATTGTAGAATTTCTTCTGAGTGTGTGCGGTGTGTATGTATGCAATAATTCAGGTTTGTGAAGTATTTTATGCATATTAATTCATAGTCAACACATACAGGTATTTGTTATTATTCCTCCCACTAATAATCTATGAGCAATTCAGACCTAAAATTTAGTCTTAGTTTCTAGGCCATGTGTCCCTGACTTTCCCCAAAAGCCCATGAGTGAGTGACCTGGACTTACGAAAACCTGAGTTCAAATTCATCCATATTAGACACTTGCCAGCTGTGTGACCCAGGGCAAGTCACTTAATCTCTGCCTGCCTCAGTTTCCTCAACTGTAAAATAGGGATAATAATAACCCCTACCTTTCAGAGTTGTCAAGTTAAATGAGATGGTATTTCTAAAGTGCTCTGAAAACCTTAAAACACTATATAAATGGTAGCTATTATTATTATCATTATTATTATGGACTTGAAGTCAGGAAAACCCAGCTTTGAATTTCACCTAAGACACATGCTAGTTGTGTGATCCTGAGCAAATGGTTTGCGCTTTCTGGGCCTCGATCTCCCTTATCAGTAAAATGGAAATGGGGAAAAGAAGCTTAGACTCAACAACCTCTAAACTCTAATATTTCTTAAGCTCTAAATATTCATTATTATGACCTATCATCATTTGTAATAACAGCAAAAAAAAAAGGTTACTTATATATCAAGCTTAAAATTATTTTTCAAAAGGTTGCCTTCAGACTTCAGCTGAGATACCTAGATATTGATCTCAACACACTAACACTGCTGTGAATAGCAAAACCATGGGTAGGTAGGTAGTCTTCCACATACTCAGGAGGTCGAGTGTCTGGTCCAAGATCTCGGTGTAATGAAATCCGGTCACTGACAAAAGCATTAAAACAGTGTTTGGCTTCACCATTTTCTTTTTCCTTTTGTTCTTCAGGACTTAAATTGTCAGGCTTGAATGGTTTCCCAGAAGCACCAGGGGCATTGGAGTCCTGAGGTGGGCGATCTAGAAAGGGCTTCAGTTCTGCCGCTGTGTAATATCCTTGCAAACACGGTCTATCCCCAGCATTATTATTTTGTCTAACAGGGGCCTTTATCTGCAATTTGGGCATCACATCTTTAATATTGTTCACAGCTTCTATCATTAGATCAAACATATTGTTTTTGTTTTTCTCAATCCCTGATACATCTTTGGAATCTTGAATGCTTACTTCTCTTTGCATTAAAATCAAAAACACCATAAAGAAAAAAATCACTGCACCAAACTTCCAGAGCTTTTTGTGGTGAAAAAGTTTTTTACAGAATAATTTTATCAGTAGTCTTACGTGAGCCATTCTGACATTAACAGTTTGTCACTTGAAAAATAACAGTTATAACTTCCTCTGTTACTTGCGTTCTTTATCATAGATTTGCTTGCCAAAAGGTTTCTTGGAATAGTAACACCTAGAAAGAACAACAGGCAGCATTAGTACATGATCAATCTAAAGACAGACGAGGACGGATGGACACGCACCCCCACCCCCACCCCCACCCCCCACACCCCCACCACCAATAACATATATTCTAAAGAATTAGATACACAAAATTGCAGGGGTGCCCTCTGATAATCATTTGTGTTTTGTTACTTCTCACTAATAATCATTTGTGTTTTGTTACTTCTCATTAATAATGTTTGTGAAACCTTTTTCATTTTATATAGAAAAGAATAAATTCATTTAACTTATTGCCAGCAGGGAATCGAATTGAGCTAACTGTTGGGGACAAGGGCTCCAAAAGAAAATATGTATTTGTGGGTACCAGTTAAAGATACGAAAAATAAGTAGATAAAAAGTCTACATATATTCCCAACTCTGGGAGGTAGGGGGCATTATTATTCCCATTTTACAGTTGAGGAAACTGAGGCAGACAGAAGTTAAGTGACTTGCCCAAGGTCACACAGCTAGTAATTGTCTAGTAAGGATGGATTTGAACTCAGGTTTTCCTAACTCCAGGTAACTCACTCATAGGCTTTTGGGAAAAGTCAGAGACATATGGCCTAGAAACTAAGAGACTAAATTCTAAGTCTAACTTGCTCACAGGTTATTAGAATTGGAAGGAATAATAATAATAATAATTTCTGTATAATAAAAATAAATCTGTATTCCCAACTCCCACTTCACCACAATGAGGACTGTCCTAAACTTGACACACTGAGTGCTATTTCTAACTATAATTAAGCAAAGGAAGATGATTCAATCTGCCTAGTAAATAAACTTGCCTATTCTTTGAAACAGTAATAAAGATATGATTATTTGGAAACACTTTAAAAACTTGATACAATATAGAAAGAGGAGAAAAACAAATTCATTGATCAACAGGCTTCCCTACACTCAATACACTCCCATGGCTCCATATTGCTCTGAAAATAAAATATAAACTCGACTCTGTAGCTTTTAAAGCCTTCAATGCCAACTGAGCCTCCCTGGTGTCAGGAAGATGTACCGTTCTGAGTTCAAATCTGGCCTCAGACACTTATTAGTTGTGTGACCCTGGACAAGTCAATTAATGCTGTTTGCCTCAGCTTCCTCATCTGTAAAATGGGCCAGAGAAGGAAGTAGCAAAGCACTCCAGTATCTTTGCCAAGAAAACCCCAAAGGGGGTCCCAAAGAATCACACACAATTGAAATGACTGAACAACAACAACAATCTGGCCCTGACCAATCTTTCAGTCTCAGTGGACATTACTTTCTTTTCTAAATTCTGCAATCCAACCAAACTAGACTTCTCTCTGGTCTTCGTCTGCAATACACCATCTGCCATCTCCACATTGCAGTGACTATCCCACATGCCCAGAAAGTATTCCCTCCTTACCTCTGCATTAAATACTCTTTCTTAAGACACAGCTCAAGCACCACCTTCTTCATGACACCTTTCTTGATTTTCCCAACTGCTAGTACTCCCCCCTTTATGCTACCTTGTATTTAACTGCTTTGTATACATTTGTATTTATTCACTTTATATTTAGGTTTTATATGCTCATATGTACTTGTCTCTTCCATTAGAATGTAAGCTCCTTGGGAATAGGAATTGTTACAGTCTTTGTGCTTATGTACGATGCCTGGCACATAATAAGTAGGCAATGAATAAATACATAAGGGGTTTTAACATTTGTTTTTAGAACTGCTGTTTTTACACCTTAAAAAATAGCCTAGGGGCAGCTGAAGTCAGGAGGACCTGAGTTCAAATCCGGCCAGACCAAAAACTTGACACTTGCTGGCTGTGTGACCCTGGGCAAGTCACTTAACCACCCAATTGCCTAACAACAACAACAACAACAAAAATAACCTAACCCAAATGGCAAAGAAGTCCAAAAAGCCAATGAGGAGAAGAATGCCTTAAAAAGCAAAATTGGCCAAATGGAAAAGGAAGTCCAAAAGCTTACTGAAGAAAATACTTCCTTAAAAATTAGAATAGAGCAATTGGAAGTTAGTGACTTTATGAGAAATCAAGACACTGTAAAACAAATTCAAAAGAATGAAAAATTAGAATTGCTGTTTTTAGCAGATGTAAACACTATCTAGATAAGCATTTTTTAAAAGTGGGTTTGAGCTTTTCAGAAGCTTATTACCAGCAAACAGGCTTAGGTCAAATAGGTCTATTACCACCTGTCAAGATGAATATGATGAATTCCTGATTGCTGCAGTAGATGTTTATAGAACATATATAGTGACCACCACACATGAGGGAGCAACCCTGGGAAGGAAGAAAGCCAAATGATGTGTTCTGGGCCATCTAGACAGTAAAACTAGAGATAGATTCTGTCAAAGTTGCTAGAGACAGCTCATGAGAAGGGAGGGTTAAAGCCAGGAGAGGTCTGGAGCCAGCTCTAACCAGCTCTGGCTGATTTTTAAATTTTCCATGTAAACAAACTTTATAGCTTGAAAACTGGACAACTACAAATTAGGCCTTAATTTTTTATTCTGTTGATTTTATAGACTTAAAAAATGATGGAGAAAGTGTTAATAGCGCAGTTTAATCTTAAGTGTCTTATGTATATTTCCTCCCAAAGAGACAGTTGTTAAATATTAAGCAGCACACCTCTGCATAAAGACTATCATAAATACAAAAAACCAAACAAAACCCCAAAACAAAAACAAAAACAACAAAACTCCAATTGACAGAAGAGATGAAAATCTACCTTCCTTTTGCTCACATCTTGCATTAACTTTTAGGGAAATATTATTTTTAAAATCCAATTAAATAAATATTAAGAATTTTGCATAAGACATTCCTCCTAACTCCAGGCATTTTCTCTTGGTTTTCCTCATGCCTGGAATTCTCTTGCCATCTCTGCCTTGTGGCTTCCTCAAATCCCAGTTAAAGTCCCATCTTCTACAAGAAGCCTTTCCTGCTCCTCCTTAATGCTAGTATCTTCCCTTTGTTAATTATCTCCATTTTCCCCCTTGTATGTATCCAATTTGGACACAGTTGTTTTCAAGTTGTTTCCCTCCTTAGACTATGACCTCCTTGAAAACTATGATTGGTTTTTTGCCTTTTTTTTTTTTAAATATGCCCGGGGCTTAGCACAGTGCCTGGCCCAAGGTAATAAATACATGAATAAAAATCATCTATGACACTGAGAAGTTCAGTTCAGTGGAAAAGGTAAGACAGGCATACTAATCAGCATTATAAAAAAATAAAATAAGTTCATATGAGAGAGAGAAAAACAATTTGAAGAGAGGCCTGAGGGAAGCATTTTTTTCTGGCTGTGAGAATCTGAATATTTATGGCAACTTGTAACTGTTAGTGCACTTTGGATAGAGGAACCAAGTTGAGACTGGCAGGACAGTTTTAAGTTTTGTTAAATAGTTTTTTTCAAATGAAGTTATTATGTACTACTTTCCATAAGTAATATAATGTATCTCTTTGGGAAAGGAAACAAGTATTTATTAACTATGTGTCAGATACTGTGCTAAGTGCTTTATAAATATTATTTGATTCTCAAAAGGTAGGTGTTATTATGATCCCCATTTTACAGTTGAAGACACCAAGGCAGACAGGGTCACATAGCTAGTTAAAATGTCTGAGGTCATATTTGAACCTAATTCTTCCTTACTCCAGACCCAGCACTCTCTCCACTGCATGATCTAGCTGCCTCTTTACACTATAGAATAGCTATTTTATCTCAGGCAAAACTCTAACCAGATTATATGGCTTCTAAATTATACCAGGCTAATAGGTTTATATTTTATCATGTAAGAAATAAAAGAGTCAGTGAAGGTTTTTGAATGGAAGAGGGATATGATCAGAACTTTGTCCTGTCTGTGTGATGGGGGAGGAGAGGAAGGGAGGAGGCAAAAAGGGAAGGAGTTAGAAGAGAGGTGAGAGAGACAAAGAGGTGGAGATTGTGGGTTTTACATGGGGATGAAGTTGAGATCTTGAATGCTGAAGAGGAGTAAATATTTTGGAGACATTATAATAGTGAAATTCTACTAGCACAGAAACATTGCTAAGGCTGACACCCCATTAGCAAGGATTCTAGAACTTGGAAAGCATGGAAAGATTATTTTCTGAATAGCACCCTAAATGTTGCAGCAGACACTGGCCTCTTGAAGATTTTAATAAAATAATCTGGTACAGAGGAAAGTTTTTAGACATAAGCATATTCTAGAGCTCTTTCCCCCAAATACTGACAACATGCAACACCAGGGTACACATTAGTGGTGTTTCACTTAGATTAAGGATGTTTAAAATACAGATTTTTCTATTGATATATCATAAAATTTAGGATAAATCAAAAGATTTGGAAAAGGTTGGCAGTCCCTGGCCTTTGGCTAGTGTCCAAACCTGCTGATTTCTTAACACCCAGTAGACTTATTATAAAAAAGGAGGCCCATTTGAGTTTGGACATTAAAAAACTATCCACCAGTGAAAACCCAGGGCAGCTGAAAATGAAAGCCAGATGGAGTTGGCACAAGAATAATGACCTAAAAGGATTTAACTCACAGAGAAAGGCCAGAGACTGAAAATAACGCAAATGAGGCATTAGGCTACTACAATTCTGTAATGCTACATTAAAAAAAAAAGAAATGAAAAATGTTTTTTAGCCAACTCTTTATTCCTGTTTCATCCATATTTTATAGATGGTGAAATTGAGTCAAAGCAACTTAGCCAAGATCACACAGTAAGCAGGTGACAAAAGGACCTAGATTCAAATTTTGGTTCTATTTTACGACCTGTGTAAGCTTGACCAAGCACCAATCTTGCTGATTCTCAGCTTTCTTATCTGCAAAATGAGGGGACTGATCAGTTGTCCTCTAAGGCACCCTTCTGCTCAAAATCCTATGCTCTCTCATTCCTACACCTAGGCCCAAAGTAGGTAACATTCTTAGAACAGTATTTTTTGAAGAACTGCATTGTGCTTCACCTTTCTCTAAACAGACACACACATTTACACATATTCA